ATTTAAATAAATATAAGTAAATGAAGGTGGAAAGTTGTATTTCTCTAAACCCTCATGCTACAGAGACCTGTTCAGGCCATCCTAAAATGGCAAAGAGAACCTATTCTACGACAATTTCTCCAGCCAGATTAATTTAATTAAAATTTAAAACTACAGTTTGAGTTTCTCACAGTAAAGATAATGAAACAATATATTCTTACCTTAAATGTGTAAAAGCAAGAAACAACAACCCTCCTGAAATGAAGTTGTTCAGATACATTTGCCTCCAGGAACTGGTTTTCCAAAATCATAAGTTTAGTAAAAATATGTCAGCAATAGTAAAAAGTAAATACTTGGGATTTTTTGAGAATATAGTGGTGTGCTTAAGAACAACCAACCAACCCCCACAAAACAAAACAAACAAAAAAAAAAAAAGGAAAAACCCACCCCACAATAGAAAAAACCCAGAATACCGATTGAGTTGTCTGGTTGGTGCACAAATCACAATGGATTGGCACAAACTGATATCTCAGTATGATTTTGCCCTGGTATTTGAAAACTTCTATGTTCAGATCAACAGAAAAAGTGAAGTTGCCTTAAGATCCAATGCTGCAACATTCGGTGCCTGCACCCAGGGTGACAATCAGGAACCTCTAAACCTGCTCCCAGAGGAAGTGGGTATTGCCATCCAAAACGAAAAAATGAGAAAAATACCTTAATTGCCTCAACATCATGCTTTATGTAATGCCCAAGATAAAAACTCCATTAAAATTCCACTAAGCTTTGGTGGGAATTACAAACAAAATTTAAGACCCAGTAGTAATTGACAGCATTTCTTTGAACTTGGAAGAGCATTTTTGTTTCAAAATGCCTGCAGAAGGACACACGAGGAGTTGCTGAGCTACTGCAGAACTCTTCCACACTTCAGGAACCTGAAGTTGGGGTCCTCCAGAGACAGTCTCCCAGGAAGAGGGGCAGGAGAGGTTATTCCTCCTGCCATCTCTGCTCTCTCTCCACCCTCCAAACCATGAGGATCTACTGATGTTATTCAGATAGCAGTATTATTTTTTTTAACAAGGAATTGATCCATCTTTGCAGTAGCTGGCCTGGATGCTTGAAGCAGTCTTTCTCCAACAGGGCGGCCTACTTGCATTTACCATCAGAGAGAGAACTTTGCTTGAGGAAAGCTGGACTGCACCAGGTACGTGGTTCTGCTTGTTTAGGACAAATATGGCTTTTCAGTACCTCACTGCAGTCCACAACACAGCTATACTTTCCATAATCATTTAAAGGCCTGTGCAATTATTTTTTCACGTGGTGCAGAAGTACAGCTAAGGCTAAACAGCAACCCTTTCCCTCTAGCTCTGTAAGATCATTCAAATTAGTCAAGTCGCCAGTTATTTGCCAGAGCACCCTCGACTAAATGCTTCTGAGAGTTTAACCAGCCTCTTCAGGTGCTTTTAAAGGAATTTTTTCTATTCCATAGCTTTATTTGAAATTATATGGATCAAGAGAGTGAGATAACTAGCCCACATCAGTGTTTCTTTAAAAAGAAACATCACATTAGCTGGGTGCGTTTTAGGAAGCCATCACAGTTGAAGAAAATACCTCCACCTTGTTCTCAACCAACCACCTCTTGTGATACAGACCTCTGAAGTGTCATGCATGTTGAGTTTCAGTATCAACAGACCACCTGATAGAACGACAAGAACATATCTTAATTTGGACAGGTTAGTTCACCAGACTCACAAACAGGAGAGGAATAAACTGAATTAAGCAGTAAATGCTCCAGATAATAGGTACTGAAAAGGAAGGATTAGTGCTAGGAGCTAAATCAGAAAGGAAAATTTCAGAGGAGATTTTATTAAAAAATACAGAAGTAAAAGAAATTTCCAAATCTTGTTGATAAGCTTTTGGGGATTGTTTAACAAACAAAACCTACATTATAAAACCATATTTATACATATATAGGTTCCACTCAGAGAAAACAAGAAACAAGCAAAGAATTTAAATAGCTACATGGCGTTGTGTCTTCTAATGGAGCCAAGAAAAGGCAAACACCACAACAGTATCTGCAAGTGCATAAAGCAAAGTACATCTGACCTAAAAGACAGTATTTACATAACTATGTATTATATAGCATTATAAAAAAAATGCATAAGCAAAGGTCAGGCTGTTTACATTGGAATATGCAAGACCATCCTTTCACAAAAAAATCTGTGGCTAGGAGGTTGCATACAAATAGTTGCACCTGAAATTGTTATAGCAGACTGCTTCTTCCCAATAAACAATACTACTTCATACTGAACTGAAAATATGTAGTACATTTCGGTAAAATTTGGAGTTCACTAAGCAATAAGGTGATGTCCGGCTATCAGAATGCGATTACCATAAGAGAAAATGAAAAGTTCTAACAGAAAAATTGACTGCTCATTGCTTTGGCTCAGTCCACAATAGTATTTGCACAGCGAGTTCCTGTACTTCAGCTGAACTCTGTTGACGTTAGTGAGGTTTGGTCTGGGAAATGGGCTTTATCTGTATACAGTCAGGTGCAGAATTGGATTCAAATGCTCCCCCCAGCTCAAGTGTCCTCTTTTTCAACATACAAAAGGTGAAGTTGTAGAAATGGGTGACTACCCAGTTTTGATTGTGGATTTACAACAGGTGTTCAGCAACTACCATTAAAAAAAAATAATAGGCACCCATAAAGAAGCATAGATGTTTTCTATTAAAAAACAAAACCTACAATCATCTTTCTGAAAATGGCATTTTTATTAAAAATTAAACCAAAAGCATCATCCATTGGATAGTCTTTCCTGATTTATGGCTTCATTCATAACCCATTAACTGATGGGGGACATTTATTTATGTCATGCAAAGCTTGAGCACCCTGGAGGATGAGAATCTTTTGTATTTATGATATATTGATTTTGCATCACTTCGTGTTTGGCTCCTCAGAAATATGAAGCTGATTATTTTTTATAAATATGAAAAATGAATTTTGATGGGGATGAGAAGCAGAAGGGCTCAACTGCTTGAGTTTTGTAGCTGAATTCACACAGATGCAATTAGAGTTTCAAAGTTTTAAGTGACCTCATTTTTATATTTGTAACAAAGTTTTTACACTACATCTTCTCACAATCATCACTAAAATGTTTAGAAGACAGAGTCACTGTCTCTACTTTTTGGTAAAATATTTGAGAGTATGTAAAGGACAAAGAAAACCTCTGGCATTTTCAGAGCTAGGGCTAATTAGGTCTGTCTTAATTTAGGTGCTTGGGTAATGCTGCCTTAGCACAAAGAAAATTACTTTCACAATCCTTACCTGAGTTAAAAAGTGCACTTCCATAATAATTGCTATTCATCTAAGATTATGTAGTTTGTTGTTTAGTTGTATGCAAAGATCTTATTAGGTCAAAATAAGAATTCTGTAATGTTCAATGGGAATGATTTTAGAAAAACATTAGTTTTGGCTGTTCTACACTTTATTAAATTACATAACCACAATATCTGCTTGCTACCAATGTTTGAAATATGTTGGGGTTTTTTTTCTTAATTTATTACAGTGGCTTGTTAAAAAAGGAAGATTTTTTTGCTTACACCAAAATCCAATGAAGTAACGTTTATTATTTCCTTGTGAATATATGAAACATATTCATCAATACAGCTCGTTTTCATCTTTTATTCTTCCTGTCTTTCCTCAAGTAACATTTTTTGCTGATTTTCTAAGCATTCTTTCAATTTATCTTCAGTCAAAGTCAGACGTTCTTCCAGGATTGAAATAGTCTGCATAAAGAGGACAGTAATTTCTTTTTTTTTTTTTTTGCATATTACACAGTATTATAAAAGTGTGCAATGTAGTAGTATAATGAAAATAATTTTAGCTCATCAGGAAAAAAATGTCCAAAGATGGCTTTTCCTTAGCTATGCCACTATTTACAACTGTTTTTAAAAATAATGGCTTAGTATCTGTGGGGATTGTCTAAAGGTTTAAAATTGTTTTCACTAAATATTTCTCTAAAATATGTATGTGCATATATAAATTACTCTGAAACACTATGCGAAAGTTGCATCCATATTTCAATAGAAAAGCAGTGATTACTGGTGACCCCAAAGAATATCTTCCAAAAAATATTTCTTAAAGCCTAAAAGAAGCTTTAAGGTATCCCCCAAAAAAGGAAGCGAGAAAAAAATATACTCTTATATGGCATTCACAAGAGATTATCTTCATCAGAGCAGGTAGGTTTCTGGACACAGGCTGGCAGTTTCTTTTTAATCCAATTTACTACAAAAATAACATTTAACTTATGACTTGACTCCATACTTCCCAACACTTATTTCTTGGGTTAACATATATATATTGCAAAAGAATGCAGAAAAATAACCCTTGGCCACTCCCTTTTGATTTGGTTTAACGTTAATATATTACGGACTACAGAGTAGTATTTTAAAACGACTGGCTAAATCTGGATTACTAAAAAGAAGTATTGGACATTTGCAACTAAGTGACTCGGAATAACTGAGACTAGTATTTGTGCAGTTTCAGTGACACTGGGAGTTATTCCACTGCTTAGAGTCCTACCTAAAGCAACACCTTGAACACTAAGTTTGAAAAGGCCTTTAATGGTACGTTGCCAATTTACTTTGTTCATCCTCCACTAATGCCTGACTGTACAAACTGGGATTTGACAGTCTCTGCTAAACAACTGGCTTCTGGCAAAGATAGACCTACGCTAGATCTCACTTCTGAAAAAGAGTGACTGTTGTCCTCCGGAATTAAAAATACAACAATTATCTTTAGGGTTATGTAGCAGGAAGCTTTCACTTTAGCAAACACCATACAAGCAATTAATATTTGCTGAAAGGAAAAAAAACCCCAAAAGTCACTTGACTATACAACTACTCAAAATAATCCCATAGACTTCAATATTCTGACTTGTGAACATAGTTCCTGGTTTTTTTTTTCCCCACTGACAGCATTATCATTTTCCACTGCAAGTGTTATGTGTTTTTGCATACTCACTAGAGTTAAAACGTCCAGCTGCTCCACAATGCGCTCCAACGCATTACCCAGGGAGGGGGAGATGCCTGTTTGCTTGTCCATATTATGCACAGCTGATTTGCTCTCATTCTCTGACTTCCTTTTTGAACTTGTTGCCAAGACTGAAGCAGGGGGATACCGCAGATCTTCACTGCTGACATCATCCTTGAATACAGAAACACCATTTGAAGATTCAGTTGTCTTTGTCTTCATTTAATTGGAACCATGAAAGTAGATAAGCAGAAAAGTCTGGGTTTTATTGAAAAAAATAATAAAAAAAAAAGAAGTCTATTTACACATATATACACACACAGGGGCCTTAAGATTTGCTTCTTGTATCCAGTCCAATTCATAACACTTCAGTTTGTCCTGACCTAAGAGAGAATTTCAGCTGTGATGGATGAGGCAATAAGCAATCTCAGCAGTCTTTAGGTACATGTTTCAGGTACATATGACTGTGGAACTACATGCTGTACTACTGGAGCTTGAATTAAAGCTGGAATAAATACTACTGCTGACTGGAGTTTTCTTCCAAAAGATAGCTCGAGGTCACAAAGGAATTCACAGCAGTCTTATGGATGAAAAATCCATACGTGACTAGATGATCACAAGGGTTCCTTCCAACTTCACAGTATGAAACCTTCATTTAGTATGAACCAATCTCTTCTTTCAGATTTAAAAAAAAAAAGTTGAGTTGTTTATTCAGTGGCATTACTTTTTGAGAAAATGATTCCTTCATAAAATGGGAGGAGGCAACAACAGGAAAGACCCAAAGAGAGAAAATGCAAAGAGAGAAATAACTCTGACGTATAAATATTGCTTCAGGGTAAGTGAAAGAGCATGATCTTCCCAATCACTTCTGGTTTTGTTTGTGCCTTGTCAAGTCACAAAATTTTACATCATCACTAATTCATTAGAAGGTCCTTCATAACAACATTACCTGATTTATAAATGACTTCTTGAGATTTCATTGAAAACTTATAATTTCAGATTATTTTGGTTTATTTTTACACTAAAATAAAGGGAGGTAGTGCAGTTTCATTATCTCTATTTCCAAGATCCACAATATATACAAAACAAAACTTTTAAATGGTTGCAAATTAACTGTTTATCTGAAATGTATTGACAACTGATGAAAATAGTCATTAGCTATGCAAAGGGGAAATTTTGGTCTTACCCGATGTATTTAAAATACACAATATTTACAATGTACCCAAGATATATTTATGTTGTAAAAAAGAACAGATTTTTCAAGAGAGTCTTAAAATCATTGTCAGCCATAAAAAAACCAAAACAAAATAACAACAAAGAAAACCCCACTCCTAAGTCCATAAAATAATCTTGGAGAATGTAAATTGCCAGGCAGAATTAGTGACAAACCTTTACAAAATTACCTAGGCGTGCTGATGAGTTTCTGTCAAGAATGATGTGTGTGTAGTTGACCCTGCCTTTGAATCAGGTAGGATCAGAGTGATGGATTAAATACTACTAAGATAATGTCAGGATTTTAAAGGGAAGTAATCCTAAATCGTATCAATATTACCAGGAACTTCTATGCTGCATTATCCACAATAGTACTGCTGTGTCCTCAGTGCCGTTCTGCACAGTCCTGACCAGCTAACATGCTTTGTTCTCTGGACTCACTATTGCTGATTCTCCAAAATCTTTTCCTCCCTAAGTGCTGGGGTCATGCTATCTACATCAATGAGAGAAAACTAAGCAAGAGACAGGTTGTGTTCACCGCTTATCTGGAAGGGCTTTTCTCTTTACCAGCAAAGCACAAGAGCAACCCAAAAATGTCACACAGAGTCAGTAGAAGACTGTGGGTCTAGGGAGGGGAATGGCCAAAAGCAGACTATGGTGTGGTAAAAGGGTTTTGTATCTTAGGAAAAGGAGCTAAAAGAAGAATGTCTCACCATCCTCTCTGGGTTAAAAGCCCCGCCATGCATTTAAGTTCTGCAAAGACAGGTCTCAGCCCCCAAGCAAGAACTCATGAAGTGCAAAGCATGGGGTTGGCAGGGATAGGGGCATGCACATACTTCAGGCCTTAACTTACAACTCTACAAAACCACAAGGAACCCTTCTCAAGATTTGATAGTACCATGGTTATTTCATGATATGTCACTTTCAATTCTTTCATTATGATGAAAGAAACAGATAAATGAACTAAGATATACCTCCAGTTCCCTTTCAGCCCTCTTTTCTGTGCTTGGTGACTGATTTATGCAAATGAACTAAGCATGTCAAGTAATAAAGGTCTGATGCCACTAATACTGATATCCATCAGTGATTTGTATTGATACTGGGTCGTGTCAAAAAATAAAAGTGTGCTAGACTTCAAACTACAGATTTCAAACATTAAAATTAGATGCTATTCTACAGAATGTCCTAATGGTTACAACATTTGCATAGGACTACAGAGACCTGGCCTTCTCCGTCTAAGGCTATTTAAACTCACGGCTCATAGTGTAATGCTTTGTCAGCCAGGCTGTTGCCTTTTAAAGTCACAGAACCGTGGAAGAAAGGTTACTCTCTCCAGTCATAATGTTTGAGTTTTGCCACTGGTCAACAAAGTTGTAGTTCAGTGATTAGGATGCTCAGTCAGGAGCAGGCAAGTCTAGTTCCCATGAGAGGTTTTATATTTTTTATATAAGGGGATAACATTAATAAAAACTCCACAGAAGAAAGGATTTGAACCCAGAATTTGCCCCGCTCCTCACTAGATGGTTTAATTGCATCTTTCTGTCCGATACCATGAATTTCAATTTCCTCTCAATATGAAAAATTTTGTGATATCAACTTCAAATTATTCCAAAGAATTGTACATTGCGAAGGGGTCACTTGTTAGCACAAAATGAAATAGAATACAAATGGTTTGATTTTTGGACAAGGCAGGCAGAAAACAAATTTTCCTACTAAATTTTACTTTGCTTTAGTTTCTTGCCTTAATGTATTAGGAATCCTCAAAAAAAAGTGTTTCAAATATCTCAGAATATTCTGGCTTAGTATACCCCATGCACTTTCAGATGAGCATGAAGCATATAGGACTATTGCATCTTAAGACTGTCCATATCTTCCCTTTGCAGATTTCGTTATATGAGATACCATTAATTCAATCCTAGAGGAGTTCAAATTCACTGTGTTATTTCTGACTTGCCAAGTTATATCTGAGGTCCTTGGGAAACAGGATTAATGGAAGCTTTTTGGCACACTTACTAAAATCACAAGATGGAGGTAGTCTCAAATGCTGATTAACACGGAAAAGATTAAGCTCAACTTGGCATAGAAATGTTAAAGAAAAAAATATTGCCATAGATTAAAGAATTCTTGCATTACAACCAATCACATTATGAAGAACATACTTGTAGTTAACTACAACAGGAGAGTCTGTTACAAGACTTACTGAGATTTCTGTAGAAAGACAATGAGAGCAGAGACCTTGCTTCTGTCTGTAAATTGTGACTGCTTGCCCAAAAGCTTCCAAAACTCATCCAGGATTAGCCAAATTTGACAGGGAGGTAGAGGGCTCACTGATGAAGTTGCAACAAATTGCATGAAAACTCAAGTCGGGGTAGCTGGGACATGTTGCAGGAAAACCCAAACTCCAGCATTACATGTTCTGCCTGGCAGCAGTAAACCTGCCCGGTTTCACACACCTTATGGAATGAAGGCAGTCAATGAGAGAAGTTAAAAGTGTCAGTGAAAACCATACAGTTGGTATAGGAAGAATTTGCAAAGCTTATGCAATTATTCTTTGTAGACACCTGTATGTGTCCTCTGAAATTTTTGGCACCTTTTACTGATTTTAATCAAACCTAATGAAGAGTTAGGGGTCTCAGAAGTAATTAACTTCCTTAAAGCCTCAGGAAAACATTTGCCAGTTTCCCAGCTGAGGTTAAGTTAGCTCTACAAGTTCACACTCCTTAGCTCCGAAAAAGGATGAGTTCCAGAAGTGCAAGAAGGACCCAGGCTGAAACCCGTGTCTTCCCAGACACCAAAATCAATAAGGTCATTGGAAATAAACACAGTGTAGGTTGTCTAACGTTAACAAAGCTACTTGTACTAACGTTTCGAGAAGTGCATTCATTTTCTCACCGTCTGAATGATGCAAGTAATTAAACAACACAGCCAGAAGAGATGTAACTGGAAACTTCAACTGATAGTCTCTGACTTTGCTTAAAAGCACACTGCCTTGCAAGTTCAGTGTCCTACAGATAATCTATTAATTTTCAAGTACTTAAAAATAATAAAAAATAGATTTAACTTTCAATGGAACTCAAAAATTGCTGTCTGTGATTTGAAGGTCTAGGATTTAAAATTAAATTAATGCAGAAGAGGAAAACAATGAGGTTATTAGACATTGACAAGTTCTTCTAAAAACAGTTCTGCTCTGACACTGGTGCTCCTCAGTTTCTTTTCAAACAAGCCTGCTGTACTTCAGACTGAAAATAAAGTAGAGATTTCAGTTTTAGCTTTCACAAAGCAATTACAAATTTTGGTATTAAAGCCAACCTAAATAGATTCTTCCAACTCAAGAAGGAAAGCTGTCAATTCAGGTAAATAGAGCAAATGCTAAACTACTAAAAATCTCACCAAACATTTTTTTCTTACAATAAAATTGATCCAAAATACAACATATCAGATAAATAGGCTGTGAAAAAAGCTTTGTATCTCAGTAAATTGCCACCTACACTGCCAAGTCAGAGTACTGGAAAAATCTTCTTGTAATTTAGTGAGTTAAGCAGGAAATTGAGATCCTTCTGTTACATACTCAAAGTCATATAAGGACCATGGGACATGAAAGTGCTTATATAAATAAAGCAAATGTCTTGATGTTTGTCAAATCTGAAAGGATCAAACACAGATATGCAAATAATTGAATTTTCAAAATCAGTATGAGAAATTAAATGAGACAGTTTCAAATTTTCAACTTTTATCATATTCCGGAAATTTGTAGAAATTTTAAAGCATTGTCAGACATCAAATATGCTGCTCTATCCTTGTGGTGCCTTCTTTATATTTTAACCTTTCTTAGTGTCTAAATTTACGATCTCCTCCAGCTCAGTGAAGGGTCTGAAACTGCTGAAATCTAATGCAACACTCAAATGCCTTGTTATAAATAGGAGTGCCACTAGTCTTGGTAGATTCTCTTTACTTTTGGATAC